TCACAGCCTCTCCAAAATGCTGGCACCTTGAGCTGTCGTGAGCGGTGCCCTGGGCGGGCTGGAACCGCGGGTGTTTCTGAGCTGGTGCTGAAGGGCTGAGGCCGCAGGAGCTGTGGGGAGGCCATTCTGAGGAAGCCAGGAGAGACGCGGGGACCACCTGGACGAGGTGGTGGGCAGGTAGAGAAGGACGCGGAAGCACAACTGGGAAAGGACCCGGAGCCGGCAGAAGAGTGTCAGGTGGGCTGGGTGGTGCTGGGGGCGAGGACCGGCTTGGGAAGCTCCCAGGCCTCGTCCCAGGGAGCACGGGGGTGAGGCGAGGGTCTGCCTTGGACCCACCACAGACCTCACACTGCTATGTCCCTGTCTGTGTAACTCAAGGCCTCTAGTGGGTGTGACCTGTCAGAAGTGGCAGGGTTGGAGGGTGGCTCCTGAAGGTGAGCATCTAGTGACCACAGTGTGCTGCCCCAGACGCGCCTGCCCAGGGCCACACGCAGGCAGGTGAGACGCGGGGCATCCTGGGCTGAGTCGCTGCCGCCTGTGCTCCATCGTGGGCAGCCTGAGCCCATTGCCCACCAGGGCCCCATGTGGAAAGAGCTGGGCTCCTGGGCCCCGCTGTTCTCCTGCAGTATCGGGGCAGGGATGAGCTTGGGTGGTTGCTGCATCTTACACCATTCTCTCTTCTCTGTTCCTGGATATTCAACATCTATACTCTCAGGAAATTCTAAGCCAATAAAGATTGTCCAAGATCCAGTGGAGAAGAAGCACCAGGTTTGTGTGGGTGGTGTAAGGATGGATGCCCTTGTTCTGTGTGACAAAAGGTGAGTCAGTGCCAAGGCCACACGGAGAATCTGTTCACGTGCTCGTTGGCTCTCTCCATGTTCAGCCCTCATCCCCTTGACTCTCATGCGTTGTGACGCCTCTTCCTGTATTTTGGATACTCGACCTTAACAGGTACACAATTGGCAAATATTTTCCCATTCTCCGGGTTTGCTGTTTATTCTCTTGATCATGTCCTTCAAAACACAAAAGGTCTTGATTTTTATGAAGGCAAATTTGCTTGAGTTTCTAGTGTCCTATCTGAAAACTATTTCCTAGCCCAAGATCCTGGTTTATGTCAGTGTTTTCTCAAGAGTTTTACAGTCACAGCTCTGAAGAGCAGTTGGTTCAGGCAGGGATGTAGCTCAGCACCAGAGCACTGCCCTGGTGTGAGCAAGTCATTGGTAGATCCCCCATTGTGAGCACACTTACACATACACACACACACGCACACACACACACACACAGTTAGTTCTTTGGTCTGTATTGATCTGATTGCTTGTGGTGTGAGGTAGGGATCCAGCTTCGACCTTGGCCTGGGATCTCCAGTTCCAGCAACATTTGTTGAACTTTGTTCTTGCCCACTTGACGGACAGGTGCTCTTTCTATTGAGTAGAACAGAGGCAGGGGTTTGCCTTAGGACTGTCCTATCCCATCCATCTTCGTGTCTGTCCTGTGGCAATACCACACAGACCTAACCACTGTTGGTTCATGGTGACATGTGATCCTCCAATTTGTCCTCAAGATTTTTGAGCCAATCTGAGTCCCTTCGATCCCCATAGGAATTTCAGGACCAGCTTGAAAATTTCATAAAAGAAGATAAAGTCCTCTGGGATTTTGACAAGGATTGCCTGAAATCACTCCATCAGGACTGGGAGTATTGCCCACTAACACGAGTCTTCAGCCATGAACACAGGGTGATCTTACCAGTGCTTGGAGGCCTCTTTCAGTTTTTTTGTGGCTTTCAGTAAACAAGTCGTACACTTCTCTTGCAGAAACTTCACCAGAGGAAGAGCGGGATGGTGGGATGGCTGCAGAGCTGTGCAGAGCGGGTGGAGGAAGCCAGGGTTCCCTTGGCAGCCGAGGCAGCTGGGCGGACGAGCGGGCTGTGGGGCCCAGCTGGGTCCTTCAATGGGCTTAACTCATCATATTTCTATGAAGGCAAATCCCAAAGAACCTCTGGTTCCAGTGAACTGGAGCATCAGGCACAGAATTACTTGGCTCTCATCAGAGCTGAGAGTAGGAAAGTATCTCCTCCAAAATTGGAGATTTTCTCAGCTCCTACCAACAAGTATTTTATAGACAATTACCACCTGAAGAACCCTGAAGGGGATACACGGTCACATACATCTCACCTCCACGGTTTCCATAGTCCAGAGTCCTGTGTGAATTAAACCACACAGAAGGAGGATGGTGTCCCCAGGGCACAGGTGGCGTGAAGCAGGTGCTGACCCAGGGAGTCACAGCAGGCTCCAGGAACAAGCCTGTGGCCTTGGCCTCTCAGGAGACACAGCTGCCTCTTTCCAAATGTCCGACCAGAGATTCTCTGCATCCGTGGGTCTCCTCCCGTTGCCATCATCCAACACTGGACACTTCCCCTCTCAAACCCTGCACCTCGACAGTCACTCCATATGGCCTCTGCCACCAAGCCCTGGGCTGTCTCCAGGAACCCCCTGGGCACCTTACACAAATGGAACAGTGTGGCCTTGGTGACGGGCTTCCTTGACCCAGCCTCAGCCATCAGGGTTCAT